CAGTAGCGGGTGTGCAGGAGGCAGCTGATCAATGATTCTCTCTCATCATGGATGTTTCTCTCTCTCTCCTTCTCCCTTCCTCTCTGAAATGAATAAAAACTTTTTTTTTAAAGAATATTTGTTAAATCTTTTTTGAACAAGCCTTTTTTTTTAACCCTTTGTTGGAAGAAACAGATATTATGAAAAGTTGCCAGCAGGTGGCGCAATGAAACAATATTTAACCTCTTAGTCATTTAAAAAAAAGAAAAAGACAAAACAAAAACATGAAAAGCAGCCAACATTTCATCTGGTCATTGGAAAACATTTTGGTGCATTTCCCACTACCTACAATTTTCCTCCAAAATGAGCCATCATACAAAAGAACCTGGTAAATACGACTATATTGGGGAAACTTGTCAAATCGAATTCTTCAAATGCATGGAACAAAAAGGAAAACATAGACATTGGTGCCTTCTCCCTGTTGTTTGACAGGGGGGCCTTCAAAATAATAGGATGCCAGAACCCAGGATATAGAGCTTTTCTGTGTCTACAAGAAATGAGGACAGCAAAGGTGTCTAGTAATAAATACATTCCTCCAATATTGTTAGATGACTTTGGAGCTGGATTAGGAAGTATTCAATTTCTAAATCTTTATCAAGCACTTCCACTTATGTCTTGTTGATTATGGCCATTGGCGGTTGGGGAAATTTTAATTACTTAAAAAGCCATTTTAGTCTGGACACCAAAGCAAGAAACGGATGCTCATCATCCCTTTCATTATCATTTATTTGGGGCAAGGTGGGCATGAGGACTGGAAGATCAGGATGGTGGTGGCCGTGGGAGATTGGTTATATAGGGGGAGGACTGATCGAATGACTAAATATATAAGCATAATGGGAGCCAGGTTTCTCACTGTTGAAGAAGTGAATTGTGAATATGGGGAAGGGAGGAAACTAGAATGAAATCTGTGGATTGGAATTGTGACATCATGGTTTTAGATATTTATAGATATAAATAAAGGTGTAAATGTGCACAAATATAGGTGTACATATATCCATAAGCATAGTCTCTAGATCTGTCCCCCAAGAGAACCAAGAGTGGTGTCATCCATGGTGGTGAAAACACATCTAGTACCCAGAACTTGATTTCTAAATACCAGTCTTTGCTAAAAGGAACCAAGAATGACAAAGAAATGGCTGATTCCAGAGTTGGAGCAGGGAAGGTGTAAGATGTGCTTGGTGTCAAAAATCAAGAGAACCAAGAGTGGTGTCATCCATGGTGGTAAAAACACACATCTAGTACCCAGAACTTGGTTTCTAATTACCAGCCTTTGCTAAAAGGAATCAAGAATGACAAAGAAATGAGT